ATATTTTATTAAAAAGCTAATAATCCATTCAATTTTTTAAATTAGGCAATGACTGTAATATAATAAATTTGAATAATTAAGCCTAATATTCATGGAGCAAAAACAAGAGGGAAGAAAGTTCTAAAATCTTTATTTTTCCCTCCACATAAAACATGTTGATAATGATCCCACGGGTGAAAGAAGTTTCTATGTGCATACCAGTGGAGTACTCATTTGTCAAAGCAAGAACTCACACATATGCTTAGAAGGCTGGAAATCTCTAGGGAAGTACAGAGACCTCTCCTAACTCAGCCCTCACTATTGACTCCTAGCTCTATTTTTACCTGATCTGTTTTTATTGCTGGACTCCACTCTCTTTCCATTACATACAGCCTAAGAATTTTCTACTCCAGTTAGAGAGCTCTGACTAAGACGCAAGTTCACAACCAGGATGGTTGGTCTGTACGTGCTATTTTCTCCCTGCTCAATAAAAGGAGAGCATCCTTGTGGTAGAAATAGCTTGGTGTCTACAGCCATACCACCCTGGACACACCTGATCTTGTCTGATCTTGGGAGCTAAGCAGGGTCGGGCCCGGTTAATACTTGGATGGAAGAAATAACTTTGCGCAACAGTTCTAAACAAAGCACAGTCTGAACTTATTCTTCCTGCCACACAGCCTTCCCACCACGTGAGGCCTTAACATCATCTCTCTTGGAAACTCCACACCAAGGTTGCACCATCATGCCCTGAAGAAGGCAAGAAGCCTTTCCTTGGGCCACTGAGTACAGGCTTATGTAAACAGGCAGTATAACTCAGTAGGCAGAGATGAAACATTTGCACTTCTCTCCAAGCATTTTAAATGAGAAAGCAAAACTCATTAAACAAGCTAAACACTCTTCTACATTCTTAAGTGTCCAAACAAACTTTTCCCCAGTAGCCTGCACTTCTATGGATTTTGCGATAAACCAAGGGGAAGGGAAGAGGAGACTTTCTTCCTAAGCTCAGAGAGATCAAAGCAAAGAGAACAAAGTTGGAGAGTGTGAGGGATTCTGCTTGGTGAGCGTTTCTCAGCAGAGTGGACTTGCTGTGTCTGGGCTGCAGGCCCCTGAGTGTCCGGTGCTCTGAGGACACCTTCACCAGAATCTGTAGAAGGTACACATCAGATCTGCTCCCAGTAATAATGCTCTGCTTTGCAGAGGCTGTTTTGCTTTCCCAGGCGCTTTCATGTCTTGTATTGATCAACAAGCAAACACTTACTGAGCGCCTATCAGATGCAGGGCCCCAGGTGGAGATCATCTCACTGACAGATATCTCATGGCCCCACTCTTCAGACATATGTGCCACTCTGAAAAGAAAATAAGGCCCAGATCTGCCTTCAAGATGTTTATAGTTTATTTGGAGACACAAGCAAAGAGTCCCGTAGAAAGAGAAATAATACTGCAAAGCACTCTATTTTAAGTTAGCCTTCCTTAAACTTTGATCATAATCACAACCACATTAGGAGCTTATTAAAAATCAAAGGGGCCTGGATCACATCTTTGGAGAATCTAATTCCATGGGAAGGAAGCCTGGGTCCCTGTATTTTTAACAAGCAGCCACAAAGATCAAAAATTTAAAACATAAGGCAGTGCATACGTGGCAAATGAGACAGTCACTCATGCTGGCCAAGGTCAAAGGACTCCAGCAAGGTCAGACATAAAAGAGACCTGCAAGGGCAGACAGGAGGCTGAGAGCAGAAAGGCAGAAAGGAGAAAGGCAGGGAGTTGGCAGGGAGAGGGGGATAGGGTCCTAAGAAAAAGTGCAATATTCATGTAGGGGGAAAGAATGCAGAAAATTCTGAATGTAGAAGGCTGCCCTAGAGGATTGAGAGATCAAGACAGACAGGTAGGTCTGGAGTCTGGGGCCATGGGACTGGAGTCTGGGCCCTTATATTTTATCATATCAAAGTAAGGAGGATCATGAATGACAGGTGTTTACTTTAGCCTGGAGGCAAAGGGTGCCTCAGGAATGGCAGGGCCACGAGAGCAGAGAATTTCAGACACAGAAGTCCGGTGCTGGGTTGAAACCATCAGGAAGACCAGAAGCTGGGCCCAAAGTTCTAGTAAGATAGTTTAATATCCTGTTCTACCCTCACCGCAGATCAATGAACTGAGCAAGATAGATAATATTATCTTCTTTCTGTAGAGAGAAAACTGGGGCACAAAGTGGCCACACAGCAAGAGGAAAGCTGGGGAAGCCAGAACAGCCATGTGGCTTGCACTCATCTTTGACAAATCAATCCACTGCATTTCAAGCCTATTCAACATACATTTATAGAGTGCCTACTACCAGCAAGAAACAAGCAGCAGCAAGATAAATGGAGTGCCGTTCCTGCCCTCAGGGAGCTCACCTCCCAGTGGAGGAGCTGGCAAACACGTTCTGTAAAGAACCGGATAGTGAATACTTCAGACTGTGCAGGCCAGTCTCTGTAGCAAATGCTCACCTCTGACATTATAGCAAAAAAGTGGCCATGCACAATACATGAACAAATGAGCATATCTGTGTTCCAATAAAACTTTATTTACAAAACAGGCAGCGGGCCGGATTCGACCTGTAATGTGCCAATCCCTGATCTAGTGGGTAAAACAAACCCCTGCGTGGCTACTTATAAAACAAGAGAGGTGTGTTATAAATAAAACGACTTCACAGCCCAAAGGAAAGATAGAGTAATTTAGTCTGGCCATGGATGACTGGAGAGGTAGCACTGGAGTGGGACAAGTCACTTAGTTTTCTAGGTCTCGGTTAAAACGATGGGGCTGAATCAGAAGCACATGGACGGCCCTTCTTGTTCCAGCATTCTCTGACTTGGATGGTAGTGCTGCTTTCCTGCCCAGTCTTCTAACTGCACAAACAACGTGGCCTCTCCCAAGCTTCCTGGGCCTCTCCTCACCTCTACCATCAAGTTTTGAATGTTACTTAAGGAATAAAAATTCCTCGATGATCCTGGAAGGCTAAATACACACACACGCACGCACGCACATGCACACACACACGCACAAAGTGTGTGTACGTCCTACCGCTGCCAGATGCTAAGTCTAAATTTATTTACGTTTCTAAAGATTTTCTCCCTCCTTCCCAGAACCTCTCCCTCCTGAAAAAGGTCCTGCTGCTTCTATCCCAGACACTTTAGCAAGACTCAAATGTTCTTCCTGACCAAATGCCCACCTCAAGAAGAACCCGGAGCCAGGAAGAAACCAAGGGTGGCCACACACCTCATCTGCCCTGCTGTGCTGGTGCCAGGCAAGAAAACAGAAATAGAGCCATGGAGCCCAACAGCAACATCTCACATGGTGCCAGCAGGCAGTGAGCAAGGCCCAGGCAGATAAACACATTAAGGCAGGCTGTGCAGTGCAGTACACGTCCAGGCCTCAGTGACTTCATCCCAGCCAGCCAAGGTCAACTCCAGTCTAAGGTTTAGTCAGCCTCCTCTTCTGTGGGCTCAGACTTCCCTGGTCAAGATCACTCATGTACCAAGAGGATTGGACAAGGCCACGAGTGAGGCCAGGTGCCAGCAGGGCGAAGGCAGGCAAAAGGCACCACAGATCGCATGTGGTGGCAGCAAGCCAGCTGTGTATGGATTCAAGCCTCAGACCCACCTGTGAAAATCCTACCCTACTCAAGCCTGACCACCTCCTCCAGGAAGCCCTCCTGGCTCTTGCTAATTAGCAGCAACTTGTGTGTTCTCTGAACATCTAAAGCAATGCTTCCTAACATAGGGTTATGGGATCAGCATCATCAATCAGCATCACCTGGGAAGTTGCTGGAACTGTTGTTGGAAGTTCTCAGGCCCCACCCAGGCCAAGCAACTTAGAAACTCTGAGGGTGGGACCCAGCAATTGGTGTTTTAACGATGTCCTCCTAGTGATTCTAAACCAGGCTGTGGTTTGGGCGCCACTAATACAAAGTCTAGATTCTAAACCACTAACTGGACACCTGTGTTTTACATGCAATCCCTGTGCTCCTGGCTTCCCTGGGAATGTGGTTGCATTTCAGAGCCTGGATCTCACATGCCCATAATCCCCCACCTTGCCCAGCCCAGGATGCCACAGCAAGTACTTCCTCGGCTAACACCTGTGGAATTTAATTAGCTTGAGTTCAGATACCACCATCAGGTTACAAAATCATGGAACCTGAATGCTGAAAGAGGCTTTAGTGCCCAACCAGCCCAACTACCCATCAAGGCTCTGCCAGGACCCAACTTCTCCGTGTTTCTCTCAGGTCAGGTCAGATGCTCCGCTAATGCCTGGGAGTTCACAGTCTCATTCCTTCACCCACAAAATATTGACTGAGCATGGGTGCCAGGCACACACGATGTTCCTGCATATAAGTGAACCAGCAACGAGGATCCTTGCTCGGAGGAAGCAGATATTCCAGTGGCAGGAGAGACCCAATAAATAGCAATAAATAAATAAAACAAAAAACCCATATGCATTAACCATTAGAAAACATCAGACACACCAAAATATAGGGACTTCCTATGAAAATAACTAAACAGCACTCTTCACCAATGTCAAAGTCATGAAAGATAAGGAAAGATGAGTCACAAATTAGAGCACACTAAGGAGACATTGTGGGTACATGAAATGTGGGACCCTGGACTGGATCCTGGAAAAGACAAACAGCATCAGTGGGAAAAGTGATGACATTTGAGGAAGGCTTACAGTTTGACATGCAGTTTTAGACCAACATGAAACTTGTTCTCTTCTATAGTGATATAAGATGTGAACAATTATGGGAAGCAGGCTAACAGGTAGACAGGAATTCTCTGTACTAATTTGCAAATTTTCTGTATAATATTTTGACGGCAAATCCAGTTGGGAACGATGGTCCAAATAAGAGGTGAGGTGCATTTGGCATCCTTAAATAGAGGGGTGACATGTGGGCAAGATTACATTTGGGCAAGACCCAAAGGCAGGAAAGGGGCCAACCAGTGGCACTGTGAATGACATGGGGCCAAACTCAGTCTTGCCAGGATGTTTACCTGCTTGTGCTTGTTCTTCTATCCAGATGAATTCTGACCACACTTTGAACACTTCTGACAATGCTGGAGGCCCCTCAGTCTTCTCTTTGGAGGAGGTCTCACAGTCCTGCAGCTGTGCCCACTGAGTGTGCCCTGGCAGCCTGAGCCCCTGGAGTGGACAGTGAGAGAGAGCACACAAAGGCAGTGGGGTCTGATAAAGACCAAGGTTGAGACCAGAAGCACCTCCACCTTCTTTGTTCTGAAATTGCCCTGGTCTCCTTTTCTTGACAGCAAACCACTTGAGTTCCTACTTCCTCCTGTCTTTGACCCGGTGTCCAAGCTTCTTAGCATGTGAGCTTCTCCCCTAAGCACTGTCCACATGCCCAGAACCTTGAGCATTGGAGCTCAGAGCGGGGTCGACGCGAGTAAGCAGACATGAGTCAGGCTGAGACTCCACCTAATGACTAAGGATCAACGTCCCACCCGACGTTCCCATGTCTAGCCCTTCAGAAACGACAGGGAACCATAATCCAAAGCAAAACAACCCACTCCCTAGGAATGACAGCCCACAGTCCTGAGTTCTAATGACCTCAAATAAGACTCTCCCTTCCAGGTGCCAGGTCACCATCTATAAAGTGATACAGTTGGATTAGTTAATCCCCAAGATGTTTTCCAGTTCTAACACTGAATGATCAGTAATGTATCAAATGAAATCGTACAAGGTAATTGCAGCTGTGAAGTACAATGTGAGGTAGTAATGGTAGCAGTGATGAGATCTATGGCCTCCTCCCCCAAGTGAATCACCAGAATTGCAAATGGTGATTGTTACTATTAATATAATAATGTCTTAAATTGCAGAGTGCTTTTCCATTTACAAAGCATTTTTATACACATTATCTTGTGTAATCCTCATAAGAACCCAGTGAGAGTGGTAGGAAAAATGTTATTTCTTTTGCATAGATGAGGAAACAAAGTTCAGTGGCTGTTCAATTAGGAGTGACAGTACTCAGCCCGGAGCACAGGACTCAATGCCTTATCTTCTTTCTGCTACTTAGTGCTGTCTTTGCTACTCCAACAACCTGTGCAACCATCTGTGATTTTGTGTCTCTAGGTTTTGACCAGGTTAGTTCAAGGCATCTGCATGATAAGGAAACCCAGGCATTCCCCTGGAGGGGAAGGCATCGAAAGTGTGCCCAGAGCTGCCTTGGCTCGGTCCATCCATTGGGCTCCTGGGAGCACAGTCCTTTCCAGGAGGGGAGGTGGCAGCATTCTCCATTTGTCTCCTTGCAGCTCAAAATAGAACAGATGAGGTATCACAGCTGATCTCACTGCAACATCAGATGTTTTAAAATAATTAAATGAGAAATGGAAATGTGAAGAAAAAAGCCCCAATTTTTCAATGCTAGTGTCCCATGGACGTGATAAGAAAGGGACAATGATCAAAGTCAAGGTGAGGGGGCAGCTCCCACAAAGTGCCAGGTTTATAGCCATTCTGTCCCCGCTGTCCAAGTCTTCCTACCAGTAGCAATACTGTCACCCCTCACCATTCGGCTGCAACTTACAAAAGGCAAGAGACAACTTCCTCTCTTGCCACACTCCAGGATAGAAGAAGCACTCCAGTCAGCCACCAATTTCCTCTCGCTAAGCAGCCCTGTTCTCCCATGCCCACTACATGCAGAGGGTGACCCAGGCACACCCAGAGTGAGTGCTCTTGTGTCCTGTCAGACAGGGCCGGCCAGCATGAGAGCTCTTTGCTCAAGCGCCATCTCCATATCCTTTGTGTCCCTACCTAAGTGCCTACATTTGCCCATGACACTTATCTCCCTAGACCTCAGTCTCCACAGTTCTGAACTGGGAGTTAGAAGCACTCATCTTACTTCCTCATAGGGTTGTCAGTGCTATGAGGCTGGAGTGAGATCACACTTGAGAAAACACTTCAAAAATTTACATGTCCCACAGGGCACTAAGAGACCATGGCTCATCAAGCACCTGGTCAGCACTGATGGCAATGGTGTATGGCTGGCCTTTCCCAGCCTCCCTCCGGTTAGATGGATTGGAAGATCAAGTTCTGGCCAGCAGAATGTGACCAGAGTATCTAGTCCGTAAAGCCTTCCCACACACGATCCTGTTCTCTCTTTTTCTCCTCTGCCAGCTGAGGACGCAGAGGAGGATTCTGGGTAGCTAGAAAGGACAGAGCCATAGACATACCCTTTGATTGTGTTACATGGCTGGAGTTGGCGGTTGCTTGCTACAGCAGCTAGGCCACCTGGACTAGCAAAATGTCCCAGTGGAATAGCTGCCTAGAAAATCCCACAATGAGGTTGTAAATTCAAGTGAGTAGAGAAAAAGGTTTTAGTGGCCAGACACGGTGGCTCACGCCTGTAATCCCAGCACTGTGGGAGGCCAAGGTGGGTAGATCACCTGAGGTGAAGAGTTTGAGACCAGCCTGGCCAACATAGTGAAACCCCATCTCTACTAAAAATATAAAAATTAGCGGGGCATGGTGGTGGGCGCCTGTAGTCCCAGCTACTCGGGAGACTGAGGCAGGAGAATTGCTTGAACCTGGGAGGTAGAGGTTGCAGTGAGCCGAGATTATGCCACTGCACTCCAGCCTGGGCGACAGAGCAAGACTCTGTCTCAAAAAAAAAAAAAAAAAAATTGAGACCATATAAAAGATAAAAGATATACCCCAGCAGATGGACTCCGGGGCCCCACAGTTCTGTGATGTCTGTGTTCAACCTGTTTGAGGAACAGTCAGTACAGCACACACCAAAATGCAGCACCCATCTAGTTTGTTGCTGAGGTGCTCTTCCTTTTCTCAAACACCTATTAATGCATAATCCTGACAATAAAGAAGTGTGGATCAACCTCTAACTAGTCAGACAGGCTAGTTTTTGTTTTGTTTTGTTTTGTTTTTTGAGACAGAATCTCGCTCTGTTGCCCAGGCTGGAGTGCAGTGGCACAATCTCAGCTCACTGCAATCTCTGCTTCCCAGGTTTAAGTGATTCTTCTGCCTCAGCCTCCCAAGTAACTGGGACTACAGGTGCGTGCCACCATGCCTGGCTCATTTTTGTATTTTTAGTAGAGACTGGGTTTCACCATATTGGCCAGGCTGGCCTCACACTCCTGACCTCATGATCTGCCTGCCTCGACCCCCTAAAGTGCTGGGATCATAGGCGTGAGCCACCACGCCTGGCCCAGACAGGTTAGTTTATCCAATCACAATATCAAATGCCTTCCTAATGTGGACAGGCCATGCTAGGCCACATAAGAGACTAATAAACCATCAGAAAAAAGTGGGGGACAAAAGACCTGAAAGACAATTCACAAACATAAAACAAATAGCCCCTGAACATGTAATGTTCACCCTTACTCATACAAAATAAATCACGTCTCACCCATTAGGCTGGCAAAAATCAAAAAGGTCGGCAAGACCTCGAATTGCAGAAGAACGGGGGAAAAGGCACTCACTTGTACTATCTGTGGACAGGGACACTGGTTCCTCCCAGAGATCCATTTCATAATATCTATCAACTTGTAAAAGGCAAGTCCCTTTCAATTCAGCAATTCCAATTTTAGAAATCTACCGAACAGAAATCCTCATATATGCACAAAAAGACTCATACACAAGATTATTCATTGTTTGAAGTGCAAGAGATGGGACATGGCCTAAATGTCCAACAGTACAAATCACACAAATACATTTGGCTACTAAACAGATGAAAAGTCTACTTCAAAGTTTAGAAGATCCTGCTCCATAACATCCAGAGGTCGGGGGACGGGGGAACTGGCAAGCAAGTGCACACCCACGGAGGTTGTACCAGCATTTACATGCGCGCAAGAAGGGATGTTATGGAGAAGCATTATCCTTCAGATGCTACAGAAGCACGATTCAATGTTCGACAAGGTGTGAATCTGTTTCCATGCAGTTCCTTGGTGTTGTGCTTATTTTAAACATATGGAAAATTAGCCATAATGCAAATAACACAGCAACAGCTGTGTTTTCATCTTCTTGGCTATTTTGACGTCACAACCATCAAATACAAGCTCCAAAAAAGAGCGAACGATATTGTTCCCAGCAGCACATGCCAAAAGGCCACACACCTTCCCACGGGATGAAGGATTCCAGGGACATCTCTTTTTGTAGGTGTTACTTCCCCTCTTTGCAGAGCAGCTATTTAGCAACTAGGGGGCAAAGCCAGGCAACTGAGACTTAGGAACAGAATTATATCAGAGAAATTGGCAACAACCTTTCTGGAGTGAAATCTAACAGTGTCTATTAATATTATATATAGACACACACCTTTTGACTTAGGAATCCCACTCTCTCAACATCAGCATGGCAGGCAACATATATGAGATGTAGGGGAGAAAGAAACCGTACCCTGAAAACAACCCGAAAGTCCATCAAAAGAGAATGATTGAATAAATTATGGTACCTCTATACCATGAAAATTCTGTAATTATATTTTAACATGAGATCTATATCTACAGGAAGATATAGATCTCACCTCTCCTGCCTCAGGAGAGATGTTCAGGATGAAAAGCGTAGTTATCAACAATGTATTGTATATTTCAAATGTATTGTATATTTCAAAGTAGCTAGAAGAGAGAATTTCAGATGTCCTCAACACATGGAAATAATAAATACTCAAGGTGATGGATATCCCAAATTCCCTGACTTGATCATTATACATTCCACACATGTAACAAATATACACATACCTCATAAATAGGTAAAATATTATCTATCAATAAATAATAATAAATTGAAATTTAAAAATAAGAAAAGCAAGTGGCAGGGGACAAGAATATAATAAAATACCATTTTCATTAAACAACTGAAAAGCCCCAGACAAGACCCACAAGGCCCTACCCAATCTGCCCTCCTCCAATTCCTTCCCCTCCTTCTGTGACTTCATTTCCTGCCTTTTTTCCTGTCACATGCTCTGCTCTGTCCCATTGACAGGACACATTTCCAGGCACATCCTGCCCCAGGGCCTTTGCACTTACCCTCAACCTCGGTGCTCCTTCCCCAGAAAGCCACATGGCTTTCTCCCAAGGTCCTTTTGGTCTCTGTGCAAAACTCACCTTCTCAGTGAATTCTACCCTGATCCCTCCTTTAAAATTACAAAACAGGGAGGGGCTTTTTCCCATTTTACTTTTCTCCATAGCACTTATCATCGGCTGCATTCACTTCACTGTAAGATATTTTTGTTTATTTTGTTTTCATTGTTATTGAGACTGAGTCTCGCTTTGTCGCCCAGGCTGGAGTGCAATGGTGCGATCTCGGCTCACTGCAAACTCCGCCTTCCAGGTTCAAGCGATTCTCCTGCCTCAGCCTCCCGAGCAGCTGGATTACAGGCACACACCACCACACCTGGCTAATTTTTGTGTTTTTAGTAGAGATGGGGTTTCATGTTGGCCAGGCTGGTCTCGAATTCATGACCTCAAGTGATCTGCCCACCTTGGCCTACCAAAGTGCTGGGATTACAGGTGTGAGCCACCTCACCCGGCCCACTGTAAGATATTTTAATCCCCCGGACCATCAGTTCCAAGAGGGCAAGGGTTTTTGTCTGTCTTGTTCCCTGTGGCATCCCCAGCACAGTAAACATCCAGCAAATTCTCGCTGAATGAATGGAAAACCTGTTTGCACATCTTGACCCAGGCCTGGGGAAATAAGTGGAAAGGTCCACCCTAGGCTCTCAGCACTTGGCCGGGAAAGCTGCAGGAGAGGAGGGCATGGCATCCGAGAGCCATCAAAGAGGAAATAAGAAAGACTTTCTTTTTCTCCATATTATGATTCCACCAGTTGCTGTGAACATATGCTATTTTTATAACTTTTGAAGAGGCATTAAATAAAATAAAAAAGCAAAGATGTAAGTCAGACTCAGAGGAGCAGTGTGGAGGGGAGGGGAGACAACATGAAGAGAGAGGGACCCAGGCCACGCCCAACAGCTGCCTGGCTCTCTCCTCCCTCAGAAGAACCCATCTCTGCCCTGCTTCCATCCGGTGCAGCAAACGTCCTGGGAAGGTCAGGCTGTGGCTCATGAAAGACACCACAGAGTAGATGCTAATCCAAATCCCAACACTCCCAGACTCTCCCTCCCACCCAGCTCAGCTGGTACTGGAGGCAGACAACAAAAAGCTGGCAGAACAAGACAAATGGTGGAGACAGTAAGGTCTGAAGAAGGTGGGGTGGGTAGAAAGCAGCAAATCGGAAGGAGGGTTGGTCCAGGGGGCCAGGCCCCAGCTCAGCCTCCTAGTCACTGAGTCACCTGGGCAAGGGTGCTCTAACCTCTGAGCCTCTGGTTCTTCCTCCCTAAAAGTCAAAATAAAGGTATCGGCCTTGCTCCAATGGGCTGGATGTATGCGATACTGCTTTATCACGCTCTACAAATATCATTAGAAAGAGAATCAGCGACGTGGATGCCTCACTGAATAATGCAAAACCCCGCCCCACACAGAGCCTTGGTTTCCTCTATTGTGTTTTCCAATTACTTGCTGTTGGTCTATCAAAAAGCCATGCATTTTAATATCTGACCTTTGGCCACCTGGCTCAACTCTGTTGCTTCTAATAATTTGTAGAATCGGAGTCTAGGATTTCCTCGAGCCAGATGATCACCACACCAGAAAATAATGACACCTTCATCACTTCCTTTCCAGGACTTATGTGTCTACTGGTTTTCTCTTGTGGTATTGCACTGGCTCTGACCTAGGGTGCAAGGTTGAATAAGAGAGGTGATAGTGGGCGTTCTTGTCTTCTTCTTAACCTGAAGGGATTGCATCTCATGTCTATCTATCAGGAATAAGGTTTGCTAGAGATTTCAGTAGCTATCTGTCATCAGATTAAGTAAGTTCACCCAGCACAGAGTTAGCGATGTGTGATCATGAAGCACCTACTGGATCATATTGAATGTCATTTCATCAATTAGAGAGATCATTACATGATTGTTCTCCTTTGTTTTAATAGAGGTCTGCAAAACAAGGGGATGTCTCTACCCAATACTGCCTTTCAGGGCCAGGAGGAACAAGGCCTGGGACCCTGAAGATAAGGACGCCACTCCCATCTCAGCCACCAGCCTGAGCCCTTGATGGTCTGTCCTTCTGTGTGCTGCCCCTCCTCTCCTCAACTCTGTAGCTTTCTGAGCCAATCTCCTTCACCTTCATCCCAAACTCTCACCAGTCCCCAAAATGCCACAGACTTTCCTCTGTATGAAGTCACAACAGAAAGCTCATTGCCAACCAACTCCATGTCATGAGTAGTCACCCTGAGCATGCGCTATGGGAAGCAGGCTGATCACATCATTTTCTCAGGATGAGCAGTTCAGGATTTTGATGCAAAGACTTCACATCCACCTTGGCATATGCTAAGATTCACATGAAACTATTCCAAAATGG